CCTGATCTAGTTGAAGACATCCCTGCTCATTGCAGAGGGGCTGGACTAGATGACTTTTAAAGGTCCCTTCCAGCCCAAACCATTCTATATTTCTGTGAAGTCAGTTTAGCCAGGCGGAGAGAGAATAGGCGACCCTCTCTAGCAGGTGTCCAGCCTGCCTGCCGGGTCTGTCCCAGGGAAGGTAGGGTGGGGTTCTAGCAGTCTGTCTCCCTCCTAGACTCCCTGATACCCCTCAACCTACTCCCCCCACCCAGGAGCTCTGTCACTAAGCAGAGGAGTTCCTCTCCCTGGGCCCACCTCCCACCGGTGGGCCCGCTGCTGCTGTCTGGAGCTGGCGTAGGAGCAGAGCCCACTCCTGAGCCTGGCCCTGGGGCAGCAGCGTGTTCCCACCAGAGCTCTGTCTGGGGATCTGCGTCAGTTGTGGTGGGTGCTGAGCTTATAGAGACCACGGCTTTCTGCAGGGTGGATACCGTTGCTCCCTGGTCGGGCGGCAGAGCAGCAGTGCCCTTCCTGCGCGCCGACTGTCGCGTCGCACCCTGGTCACTGCTTTTATAGGTGTGGGGGCTTGGCTGCCATTGCTCGTCGCCCTGCCCAGGTCTGATCAGCTGCTGTTGCGCAAGCTGCCAGCCGGGTCTCTAGGTTCCTCTGAGGTTCCTCCAGCTCAGGAATCCCCCATGTGCACCACACTGGAGCACTCCTGCTCCTACAGCACCGGAGCTGCTTACCTTACAGCCTCTAAGTAAAGCACTAGACGTATAATACTTGTATATCTCTGAGATTTCTGTTTGCACACCTGTAACATTTAATGGTGACTTAAGAACAGACGAAAGTAGCAACACTGTGTTCTGTAAGAAAGGCTTCCAGTGCCTGACTAGTTACAAATTAACAGATGTCACAAATTTAACTTTGAAATGGTATATTTACAGGAGGGTAAAATTAGAAAGTTTTAGGATTCAAACAGGAAACCGAGTGTCATGAAAAGACTCTGTAAAGCCGTTTAGCTGAAATGAACATGCAAGTATTATGCCCTAAAATAAATCATAGTTTTCTTTCTCATCTGTTTTGACCTCATAAATATATTCCTTGTGTTTATAAGGCTTTTTTTATAAAGAGAAGGGTTGTATATCTCTTTCCTTCTGTGATTTCATTCCATTTTTATCTAGGGTTTTTTGGAAGCAATCTCCCAGATTACCAGAGATCAGAGATTATGATGTTCATCATGGGAAAAGTACCTGTTTTCGGGACAACTTCACAATCACTGGATACTAGTCACCTTGGGTTTGTAGATCCTACACTTTTTAATTTCTAATTAAAAAACTAGTTTTTAGAATCCTGATAAATTAAGGAGTGAAAAAAAAAGTAAAAGAAGTGAAATGCACATTCTCGCTTGTTGCTTGTTAGGGGCTGTATTAAATGCCATGCAGAATCAAGGCAAGCATAGTGTCAGCAGTATGAAATCAGTCTCCAAACACATTACTGATAGAAAATACCTGATTGGAATGCAATTGATTTTGCACTAAAACTTTTCTTCTTTCCACATCTGTACAAATGTTTCTGAAATTATCTACTTAATGGTGGTGAGTTCCATAACTTCTTATATGTGTGTTTTGTGAACAAGGAAAGTTGAACTATGACTACGTTTTTTGGAATAGCTGCATAACTTACAAGTGGTTTTTGGTTTTTCTTCATTCTGTGCAAGCTGATTTCAGATTAAGAAATAAACTGCAGAAAGTTCCAGTGAATTGGTTTTGGTTTAGTTTTTTCCTATTTTTTTTAGAAATAGGAAGAAGCTGTAGGTGGGCAGACTCCTGTAATAAACCCATAATTAAAAAGCTGCCATACGCTGAAGTAATATTTTGCCCTGTAACATCAATAATTATGTTTAAAGACTGCTTTCCCTCAGTAGGACGAAAGTCACTGAAGAGGTTGCAGCTATTCTTTTCAGGTGTGCATGGATACTTTGTACCGCCTGTGTCTGATTTCCTGCTAGCTTAAGTAGGAAGTCATTGTCATTCTCCTGGCTTCTTGGTAGGTTTTCACACAGTGTTGTGTCCCTGCAGTATGGGACACTATTCCATGGAAGACAGAAATCTCCCTATGCCAGGCAGTTACCACTCATTAAGAAGGTATTTGAAATACAGACCCATTTAGAATATGTATTTGGGTTACCAGTTGCTGTGGTGTTTTTTTTTGTTTTTTAGCTATACAGTTTTACTTTATGGGATTCTTTGTAAACATGAGACTGAGTAGTATGTTAATATGATGTGCCTGTGTCATTCTGAATGAAGCAGGCTTTCTGACTGCTGATACAGTCTTGCATTATTTAACCTGAGAATTTGGTCTCTGCTACACGAGACGTTTGAATGATACTGCCAACTAGATGTAGCCAGGATTATAGCCAGTGGACGTGGAAGTTTCCACTGTTATTGTAGGGGCCAAATTTTGTGAAGAGGCGTGCTCTTTCCTTACGCTGTTTGGTGAACAAAGGGGTTTGTACCTTCTTTACTTTTTTGAAAGAGTCTCTTTGAATGGAGCAATTTATTCCAAGTGTACTTTTACCTTGCAAGAACAGTGCATATGTGACTATATACTGATAGGTATTTAATCAGTAGATGGAAAATGAGAATATGTAAAGAACAAATTAAGTGGTTTTCTGTGTACCTTCCTGTGATCGGGAAAAATGAGGGTTCTTTCAGTTTTTCTTGCTGATTTTACAAATTACTTTTTTTCAGTCTCAAAGTTTTGGGGTTTGACTTAAACAAGAAGTGTCCTGGTTTCTTAAAAAGACTTGATTACATTTTAATTTAGAAGAAATTCGGAGTGCTGATGCTTGTGAAAAATGTCAAGTGTGTAGTGATTGAACATTTCAGATACAAATGGATTTCTGAATGAAACATGAAGATCTACATCTGCTTCACCGTGTATCATTTACTGTTTTTTCAGCTGTGTGTGTTTCATTTTTTAAGCCTTCCTATAAACATCCCTTTCAAAAACATTTAGTTACTGCGCCTCATTTAGAGGTCTTTGCCCCTTATTTGTGGTCATCCAGCATCCCTTCCAAGACTGCTGTATTCACTTGTCAAAATCGCAGTTGTTCGAGTATTGTCTGGAGTCAAATAATATTTTGAAGGCATGCAAAGAAACTAATTTTCAACTTTTTTCCAATTGTAGGGATTTGGGAACTAGGAGGATTCAGATCATGTTATTGAGATCATTACTTATGGTAAGCCTTCTGTGTTCAGTATATTATATTGTAAGCACACAGTGTTTCACTTTGTGCATACATTTGTACTTATAAGCACAGTATTACAACTCTGTGTTATGAAATGAAACATGCCTTCATATTATGTAGATATGTAGTTCTACTGGGTAAAATTGTGACAGCATTTTCCCAACTTACATCACAAGCAGCTCAAGAAGTGTTCCTCCATCTCTTAGAGCACTTTAGTGAATATCAGTTATAATTGGATCTGCAGATCCAAAAGAACATCACAGAGTGGGTTGAGTTGACTAGTTCTGCCAGCAATGCTAGCAACATGAAAGTGAAATCACTTTTGTCTTTGACACCAGAAGAGCTGTAATTAGTAGAATGACTAGTGTTTTTAAAACTATAGGAATAGATGCCTGTCTCCAAGCCCTTAGAGCCTCAAGCACCCCTGTTCTTCCCTTCCTAGTATTTCCCAAGTTTCTTGTAAGGTATAAATTAACTGTTTTATAACAAATACATTTTTCAGCTGTAAATCTTCAAACATTGTGATGGTAGGAGTCAGAAGTGGGTAGTAAAGGAGGCTCTTGCCTGTAGAATCCTGGCCTATTTTGTTGCAGAAGCTGAAAACTGTTTAGTAACTTGAGTAGGAGATAGAGCATAAAGAATGATTTAATGTCTAAAGCAGTAGAATACCTTCCTGGAAAATGAGTTCCTGTCGCTGCTTTGACATGAAATTTGTGTGTTGTGTTAGGCAAATCACTTAAACCGTTCTTTGCTTGTCAGAATATGAAATCCTAGATTCTGGCTTGCAGAAGAGCTGTGCATTTACAGTTGCAATTTAAGGATAGAAGACATGTTAGAAAGGACCTCAGGGGTTCATTTTGCACAGTCTTCATTAAAGATAGACTCAGCTATGCCTAAACTGTTCCTGACAATGTTCGTCTCACCAGTCTTAAAAATTTCCATTGAAGTCAGTAAGAATTGTTCCAATTATTTGGGGTGCTGTGTAGGCTGTAAGTATGCCTTAAGGGATTCAAATTGTGCATGTGGAAGGAATTTAAGATTTTTGACACTGAATTTTGTTTTGGATCCTCTTTTAGAATATGGAAGTAAAATCCCATCATGGCATAAAGATGTGAAAATGAATGTTTTGCAGCTTAATGAATTACTCAGACATTGATAAACATTGTGGAAAAAATGTGGGAAGGATTTGTGTTCAGAGCAAAGCTTTTGTTGTAGTATAGTCTGCACACATTAAATAAAGAACTAGAAACTACTGAACTTTACCTGTTCTGTGTACTGAACTGAGCATTCTATGTCATGTGTTCTTTACAAAGCAATAATACTTTGTAACATAATTAGTCTGTTGTCATGCATACCTACAGACAGACAATTTAATGTTGTATAGGCAATTAAAATCTGGCACTTCGTTAAAGGTATGCGCTTTTATTTGCAGCCTTAGACCTTGTAATATTAGTAATTTTCCATTTTCAAAATGATTGATTAGATAACTTCATGTGCCCTCATGCTCTTCTGCCCACCAGTTCCTTTCAACATATTCAGTTATGCTGTAGGACTAGGGCTTGCTGCCATGTTGTGGTTTAACCGTGGCAGGCAGCAAAGCACCATCCAGTTGTTTCCTCATTCTTCCCCAGAGGGACGGGTGAGAGAATCAGAAGGGTACGAGTGAGAAAAGTGGGTTGAGATGAAGACAGTTTAATAAGTAAAAAAAGGAAACAAAGAAAAACAAAATGAAGAAAGAAGAAAAACAAATTAAAAAAACAAGCAAACAAAAAACCAAACAAAGAATCAAACAAAACCCCCACTCAAGCAAACTGCAAAAAACCCCACCCAATACCCAATTGCTCGCCACCAGCCAGCTGATAACCCAGCCAGTCCCCAAGCAACAGGAGCCCTTGCAAACTGCCCCCAGTTTTATTGCTGAGCGTGATACCGTATGGCGTGGGATATCCCTTTGGTCAGCTGGGGTCAGCTGTCCCGGCTGTGCCCCCTCCCAGCTGCTTGTGTGCCCGCCGCCTCCCCGCTGTCAGGGCGGTGTGAGAAGCTGAAAAGGCCTTGGCGCTGTGTAAGCGCTGCTCAGCAATAACCACATCATCCCTATGTTATCAATACTGTTTCGGTCACAAATGCAAAACACAGCATCATATATGCTAGTATGAAGAAAATCAACTGTCCCAGCCCGTAATTCATACAACACAGTTCACATGTGAAAGCTGTAATGACATGGAATATGCAGAATGCAGATACAATTGTTATGCAGAAACTTATATAAACATATGATTGCTTTTATTATACTTGAATCTGGGATTATTTTGTTCCCCTCCTCCTCAACAGCTTATGCTTGGCATTCTCTGAATCCTCTTTGTGTCTTGAGATTGTAATAGTCTGGTAACCTCCACTTTAAGGAACAGTAACTTTTTAAACATTTCTGACTGCTGTAAATGTTCAGCTGATGATTATTTAAATTGTCAGATTGAAGTTAACTTTTCCTTGTGTGCCTACAGAGCTTGCTTTAAATATAAGCAATCAGGTGAGGCAAGGCAGCAGTAGTATTAGTTTTAAAAAAGAAAAAACAACACCATGGTACTAGATTTCTAAGTGATGTTTGCTGCTTGCTTTCTTTTTTGCAATAAAGTATTATCCATACATGTTTAAGATGCACAACATAGGCCTGATTTTTCTATTTTTCTTCATTTTGGTATACTCAGTGCTGTGTATGAGCAGCTCAGAGCCTGAAATGGAAAGGTCTCTGTTGGAAATATTACCGTCTTCATTTTATGTCTTGCAACTTTTCATAGGCTGTTTCTCAAAAAAAAAAAAAGATTCATGAATGGTACCTTTATTTTTTTTATTTTGGGTGTGTTGGTAGAGGAGGGTTCCTGAGAAATACCACTTTAAAACAGATGAGGGAGTTCATTTGAACATGAATATTAAAGTCCTGCCAAATTCATAGTGAGGTTAGGAATTTTGAAAGCTAACAGAGTAGTGCCCTTTGAATCCACCCTTCAGGTGCCAAAGCAAGCCCACTAAAAAGTGAGTGACAGCTGCAAGTAGTTCTTACAATGCACTAATGACACACATTAATTTTACTTCTGACAATGAACAGGTGACTTCAGGATACAAAGCAACAACGATAACTAATGCACTTCCTCCCCCGTTTCTGGACCCGTTACTGTCTCCTTCACTCATGGAGGACTCTGAGCTGAGGCAGCTAGTCTTGGAAATACTGCATAATCTCATTGATCGGCATGACAACAGGGCAAAGCTCAGAGGGATACGGTAATTCTTTTTCTTTGCTTTGGCCTACTTGAAATTCTTGTTTAAGATCTGAAGGATAACTAATGTTGATTTTTAAATGTTTTTCCTAATATGAAATGTTAATGTACTGGTTTTGGTAAACGCACAGTGCTCAGTGTCATTTATTGATCGCAAGGCTTTTGCAGGTAAGCCTTACTGCGTGATGTCTTAAATGACCATTGTAAATATCTGCTAGTTTAACTGTGGAAGGCAGAATACAGTATTTTACATAGAGAAAAAAATAATATGTGGTTGTCATAATTCTGTCTATGGTTCTTTGTCTTCAACTGAAATTTGAATGTCGTTGTTAAACATGGATATAATTAAAATGGAAATTGCTTCAAGATTTGTTTGAACATTCATGTATTTCACATCCTCT